ATAATGGCTCTGAATTTACCCACCAGTTTGCGAACCCTGTCCAGAACAAGATCAATGATCTCTTTTCCAATGGTATAGTGTCCACGGGCATAATTGTTAGCTGCATCCTCCTTGCCAGTGATCAACTGCTCAGGGTGGAACAGCTGGCGATACGTCCCAGTCCGCACCTCATCTAAGGAAACAGACAGACAGTTATTTAAACTGACTCACATACTGCACTGCTACATTTAGCCAATGGTAACAACGCTTACCGATCACAGTGGGTTCAAGGTCCACAAAAACAGCTCTAGGGACATGCTTTCCAGCTCCAGTCTCACTGAAAAATGTGTTGAAGGAATCATCTCCTCCGCCAATGGTCTTGTCACTGGGCATTTGACCGTCTGGCTGAATGCCATGTTCCAAGCAGTAAAGCTCCCAGCAGGCATTCCCAATCTGGACACCAGCCTGTCCAACGTGGATGGAGATGCATTCACGCTGTGGGAAGAAAGACAGGTCACTTAGATGTTCACACTTTTTTCACTACAGATGATGGGTACCAAAAACCTTATCATTTTTTTCCCCCTCCCGACCTGTTCACCATTTATCCAGGTCAAAAACCTAAAACCTAAACTAAAGAGCAAGTTAATTCAAAAGGTGTCTTAGAGAAGATAGCTACCCAACAACTGAGCACTAAGAGCTTTTACAGTCCAGTGGGACGCTAGGCCAGATGTCGTCACTGACTGGATATAAACCACACCTCTCCGGTGCACAAAAGGCCGAACGGAAAGCGGGGAGGAATGGGTTGTCACAACCACCAAAAATGCGCCATGTCATCTCCCCACGCCCCAAATCACAGTTATACCCTCCAATCTTACTGATACCTAAAATTATGCGACCTGTCTGATTATCAAAGAGTAAAACGTAGTTCCGTATACTGCCTTCCATGTTCCCGTTTTTACTTTTCGGTTTAAGGCAACGCTTCCTCCCTCGTTCCTTAGAACAGCAGATTAAAAATTGCGCACCGACATATCATCAATAACCAACTGCCAACATTTAGCAGAGGTTTTTAAATTTCTTACCATTTTGTTCGTTGGTCCTTAGAGTAAAGAATAGGAAGAAAAACTCGACAACAAATCCTCCAAACCAACCGTTAGGAGCCGATCTAAGAGGAAATAATGACGCAGACAGCGCTTTCGCGCCTGGCTTGCGGAGGGGACCGAACCATTTCTTATAAATTAGGAGGTGCGCGGATTACAATATGCTTAATTTTATCCAAAAACAAAAAAACTCATCACTAGATTAATCAAAAATAAAGCAAAGTGCGTCTTCTATTAATTATATAATAAAAAAATGTAAATTTTAAACGTACAAATATCTTTAATGGCTCCCTAATTTCTAGACCCTTAGATTCGCCCTGACTTCCTCGGACCGCATTTCTAGAATAATTTTACGTATCGCCTCCTGGCGGTTTGGATGATAAATGTAACTCATGTATAACTTTTAACAATTTGAGTACAACCAAGTAATTAAAATTTTAATACAGTATTAGTACAATAAAACTGAATTTAAAAATGTGTTTCTTTCTGTGTCTTCATAGCTCTGCCTTCAATTACATACGTGAAAAGATGAAACAGCCAAACAGGTCACACTGCGAAAAGAAATCGATCAAGACTATTGTTCTATGCAAAAATACAAAGGTGTATCCCACCAAGCAATCCCTTTGTATAAATTGATGTGTTTTTGTTTTCTTTCTCTTTTTATACGTATTTATTTTCTTCATAAAAACACAGTATACTCGCTGCTTCACATTTACTCACATTTCCCTTTATATTATTATGTCTATATTATTGTGTTGTCGTTCAATGATCACGTTGTTTACAGAAAGGTTTTTTTAAGCCAACAATACGAAGTTCAAAATTATGAAAACAAAACAAAACAAGAACTTCCCATCTATATGCCGCTGTTCCTATAAGCAACAGATGCTCCGGCAGTCCGGGTAATGATCGTTGGCGGCAGGAAAGCTATACAGTTTGTAGAGTGTAGAAAACTGCGAGCTAAATGAAACAGGTTTGTGTTTGTGAGACGAGAAAGCTGATCCTAGGTAGGATTCCTGAATAATTGACGGAGAAACGGTGAGCTACACCTGGCGCACGTGTTTACAATCGATGCCAGAAACCGGTGAGACAGAGCGGGAGGTTAAACCTCTTCCGCTGAAGCCTCTGAACATGTTTGGCAGGCAGTGCCTGCTTGTAGTTACGATTATTAAGTAATTTCTACTTACAACCACTTAAAGTATTTATTTGTTTACTCATCTTTTTAAAATAAATGTAATTTAATTGATCACTTGACCTATTTACTAGGTATATCTTTTTGGGGCAATATTGCCCAGAAATATTACTTTTAAAAAGTAAATTGAATCAAAGAATCCGTCCATCATTACTAAAAGATGGTATAATGAAAACTTAAAATAATATTAATATCTCCGTTGGGTGGCGGTAACTATTTCCCAAATCATTGTCCTTTAATTTAATAATGAATTAGTGTACCAGTGACTGTATAAAGCACACAGCCTTAAATATATTTAATACTGTAAGCATGTGATTAATTCTGTTTTGTAGTTTCTAAGTGTGACCACTGTGGGGAATCAGCATGGGTGTTTGATAACAATATACAAACATGGAAGGAGGTAAGAATTTTGACTGGTATTTAAACGTTCTGCCAACTTATTTTTAAACAAGATAACAGCGGCAGTATCGACAAAACACACTTCAGTTATCTAAAGTAAATATTTTTTAGATGAAATAATATAATTGTTTTATATGCTGACTGTGCATGTATGTTTAAGATGTATTTTATTTTCCATTTTTCTGTGGTGGCCGTTCGGGACAGAACTAAAAAAACATTACGACACATCAGCATATACTGCCGGATGCACACCATTGATTCCCAAATTAGTTTTTTCTGAAATATTATAGACTTTCCACACTAGGCCCCAAACACATAATTAGATGAAACCAGATTAAATTTTACAGCCCCAAGCAACTGCTGTTTTATGTATTTAAATATTTAAGGTGTAAAGCTTTAAAACTGTTCTTAACAGTTTTTGAGTATTAGTGTTTAAAAAAAAATTAATGCACTGACACCTTCTCTTTAAACAGCTCATGTACTCTTTATTAAGCAGCACCTTAATAAAAGAAAGTGCTGATATTGAAAGAACAGAACTACAAAACAAAGTGGTCATGTCTCCATGTTACACTCTCACATAGCATTAAAACACCACATTTATTTAAAGTTGAAAATTATATACAGGAATGTGTAACAAGATTTGGTAGACCAATGTAACAGTGCTTCTGAGCGAACTTGCATAACTTTGATGATTTTATTGCAATGAACCTACTCCTCACCTTCCTCATCTCCCTCCCCATCAACAGAGTCAACTCCAACCTCTTCATAATCCTTCTCTAGAGCTGCCATGTCCTCTCTAGCCTCAGAAAACTCACCCTCCTCCATTCCCTCACCCACATACCAGTGAACAAATGCACGCTTGGCGTACATCAAGTCAAACTTGTGGTCAAGTCGTGCCCAAGCCTCAGCGATGGCAGTGGTGTTGCTCAGCATACACACAGCCCTCTGGACCTTGGCCAGGTCTCCACCAGGAACCACAGTGGGTGGCTGGTAGTTGATGCCGACCTTGAAACCGGTGGGGCACCAGTCCACGAACTGGATGGTGCGCTTGGTTTTAATGGCAGCAATGGCAGCGTTGACATCTTTGGGCACCACATCGCCACGGTACAAAAGGCAGCAGGCCATGTACTTGCCGTGGCGAGGGTCACATTTCACCATCTGATTGGCTGGCTCGAAGCAAGCGTTTGTGATTTCTGATACAGTTAGCTGCTCGTGATAAGCTTTCTCTGCAGAGATGACGGGGGCGTAGGTGGCCAGGGGGAAATGGATACGAGGGTAGGGCACCAAGTTGGTCTGGAACTCTGTCAGATCAACATTGAGGGCGCCATCGAAGCGGAGCGAAGCAGTGATGGAGGACACAATCTGGCTGATCAACCTGTTCAGGTTGGTGTAGGAAGGACGCTCGATATCGAGGTTCCTACGGCAGATGTCATAGATTGCCTCGTTATCTACCATGAAGGCACAGTCAGAGTGCTCTAGGGTGGTGTGGGTGGTCAGGATGGCGTTGTAGGGCTCAACCACAGCGGTGGACACTTGGGGAGCTGGGTAGATGGAAAACTCCAGCTTTGACTTCTTGCCGTAGTCTACAGAAAGGCGCTCCATCAGCAGGGAGGTGAAACCAGAGCCGGTCCCACCGCCAAAGCTGTGGAACACCAGGAAGCCCTGAAGACCAGTGCACTGGTCAGCCTGAGGATGGAGAGGGAAAGACAAAGTTCATGCGATACAGTTATCTAGTTTACTTTGTCGATAATGGCTCTGAATTTACCCACCAGTTTGCGAACCCTGTCCAGAACAAGATCAATGATCTCTTTTCCAATGGTATAGTGTCCACGGGCATAATTGTTAGCTGCATCCTCCTTGCCAGTGATCAACTGCTCAGGGTGGAACAGCTGGCGATACGTCCCAGTCCGCACCTCATCTAAGGAAACAGACAGACAGTTATTTAAACTGACTCACATACTGCACTGCTACATTTAGCCAATGGTAACAACGCTTACCGATCACAGTGGGTTCAAGGTCCACAAAAACAGCTCTAGGGACATGCTTTCCAGCTCCAGTCTCACTGAAAAATGTGTTGAAGGAATCATCTCCTCCGCCAATGGTCTTGTCACTGGGCATTTGACCGTCTGGCTGAATGCCATGTTCCAAGCAGTAAAGCTCCCAGCAGGCATTCCCAATCTGGACACCAGCCTGTCCAACGTGGACGGAGATGCATTCACGCTGTGGGAGGGGGAGAGGGGGGGAGTCAATTAGATGTACACCTTTTTCTTTTAGATCAGAGTAAAGGGACACAAATTGAAAAACTGCATACATGGGAACAATGCCAACTACTCCTTGCTTTTGGGCCAAACAGTCTTTAAAAAGTATCTAAATCACAAGCATACTAGTTTTCACTTGACTGTTTTCTCCATACATTGTGTTGCTATGCGACAAATCTTTCCTTCCTTAACTACCGATGACGTACGTGCTGTTGAAATTTCAAAATGTGCGCCCTTTTCACTTGGAATCTATTACTGAAAAAACGCTTTAACGAAACCGAATATTCAAGTGATCGTGAACAAAACAAATCTCTCCGTTCACACTTCAACCACCTTCCCATATCTGATCTGCTCAGCATTTACAAGACACTTACTAAGCCTAAAACACAATAACCCCCCTAATCATTTATATATTTAAACCACACCTCTTGCATAACCATCACAGAGTAAAGTAAATGTCAGTATAGAGACATCATTTTCCCATTTCTACTTTGCAGTTAAAGGCAACACTTCCCTCCTCGCTCCTTAGAACTGGGAGGAGGTCAAAAAATGCGGAAGAAACATATCGCCCGTAACTGACTACTAAAAGTTTGCTTTTACAAGGTTTCTTACCATTTTGCTCTTTGGTGTTTACGCTACAAAATGGCAGAAAAATCTCAGTCTTACAAACCGACCGTTAAGCGTCGACGTAACAGGAAATAATGAAGCAGATGACGCTTTCCCCGCCTAGAGAGGATTGAACCATTTCTTGAACAATAGGGTGGAGGTGGATCACTGGTATGCTTAATTTTAACCCCCCCAAAATTTAGAAAAGAAAGTTAACCGGCAGGTTAATTCTGAATAAAGTAAAATAACGTATATAAATTAAAATATAATAATTTAACATTATAATAACTAAAAGCGACATTTTTAGTGAATCTATATCTTTCTTAACCCCCCCTAGTTCACAAAGCCTTAGAATCGCTCTGACCACATTTCTATAACGGTTTTTACGTACCGCCCGCTGGATGTTGAACGTAGTCTAACGAGCTTGGGAAAAAAGCGTCTGGACTTCTTTAAGTTTCTTGAAGACGTTTCACCTCTCATCCGATAAGCTTCTTCAGCTCTAAAGTTCTCTTAATTCCATGTATATACTAAGATCACTATCAAGTGGCAAAGTTTGTTTTTAGATTAATTTCAAAACTATAAAGTTTATTCAGACTACTATTACGATCCATCTAAATACTGTTTTTCTAAATACCCAGCTTGTAGATTTACCCTACCCTAATAATGCTTACTGTTCTTATTGCGC